TCTCTTTGTTTGTCATATCAACAATGGGAGGTGCGATATTATAAAGTTCCCTTATAAATGATCCAGTCTTTTCTTTCCTAACCTCGTTCCAAAGATCCAACCTTTAGCCAAAGTCCCCACTAACTAATCTGTAAATAACTTTTAACTAAACTAATGCTGTGTCCTCATCTTTGTGTCTCCTCCAGAGGGTACCCCAATTAAAGGTAAGCTGTGAGAAAAGTGGGATTTAAAAGAGGGTCACTTTAAACTGCTGCATAACCAAACATAATCACACATTCTAAAACATGAAATCAACCTCCCCCTTAAAAATAAACAAGGAAAAGGGCCTTCCTGTCCTTTCACCATCAATTATTCATTTGTATTCGTGTCCGGTGTTATCTGCACATTCTGTCTGTGTGATCTCATGTGTTTGACATTTCTGTGTCCTCTGTCACTGCTAATGTGCCATTTCTTCCACCACTGTCGGCCGTGTGTGTTCTACTAGCTTTACCTCGCTCAATGGGTGCTTATGGTGCCGCGATAGGGCGATTGAATGCACCGGGGAAGGAGAGGGGGTGGCTATTACAAGGCTGTGTGTGTGCTTTATGCTTCTGACATTTAGGTGGAGTCGGGGGGATGGTGGAGATACTGTGCTCCTTTAGCTCTATTTGCAAAGAAGGCCTAATGAAATGAAACACTTACAAGTTGTTTGCCTTGATCATTTATTTGTAAAGAACAATTTAGTATGCTTTTTTAAAGTTCAAATCCAGTTGTAAACTAGTTTCCTCGTGTTTAGTTTAAGCTTACACATAGATTGATGTTACAAAAAAAATGTAAAAAGTCAAAATATACAATGTTTTATTTATGTGACTGACATTTTCATTGTCTAAATCTTTATATCTCCTACAACTTGAATATATTGCAAATTGATTTCATGCACCATTTAGTCAAAGTCAAATAAACCAAAAACATTTGAGATCACAAAGTAATAGTAAAAACCTAAGTATGTGATTTTTAGGGATTGGTTATACAGGTAAGTATAATATTCAGTGCTTGTTTGCTCAACTTGACAGTGCAGAGGATGTCCCAGTCTACAAAAATCTAGCAGGGTTCCTCCATCATCAGCCATTTAAAAAGCTCTACACCCTACATCCGTACATTTATACATTTCTTTCCTGTGGGGAGACCTAAGCCTTGCATTTGTATTGGCTCTCTGTGAATAAGATCTCATAAATCATATTGTGTCAAATGAAAGCGGGCGTGACTTATGAACTCTGTATTTGCATAATGAGATAAGCGGCACGAAAAAAGACCGATTTTGCGTTTGACTATACGCTTTTGAATTTGGAGACAAAGGGAAATATGAATCAGATTTTGTTGTATTCTGATCTATGTTGTTCTATAATGTTGTTTCCTCATCACAGACATACCTGGAGTTCTGTTTTGTTTCAAGTTTCACACATGTTCAACACACAAGGCCTGCATATTTAGTCTGAGTTCTCCAAACAGAAAAACACTCTGTTCCTTGTGTTGCCATGTGGTAATACAGCTAAGTGCTCCACTATTTTTTAACTTCATACACCTTCACCAGAATAATTTTTATATTTTCAGCCCTGGAATTGCCAATCTCTACTGAACTAAAGGTAAAAGGTAGCTGTTAACTTGAAAAATACCACTACATGACATCACAAGGTGGCACAGAGCTTTGGAGATATAGACAGACTAATAATAAAGGGTTGTCCAAACATGTGTGAGTGAAACAAAACACAGCTCCAGGTATGTTTTTGTTGAGGTAACAGTATCATAACTTGGCTTAAAGCTCACAGGAGTCAGTTTTGCGTAATAAGAAATTCCAGTTAAAAGCCCTCACATTTGTCAGATTCTCGTTTGTTGAAGATGTAACATTGTGAAAACTGTCTCGACTCCCTACCTGCATCATTACTGATTTCATGGGAGCGTTACAAGGCACCAGATGGGCAGTGACAACAAAGACAACACACGTGAGGCGCCCTGCTGTGCCTGGGTGCTATAATGACCTTGGGGTGGGAGCAGAGGGTGCTCACATGACAGCATAAGGATCAAACCGACCAACGAAAGACCAGTTCTGGAAATGGCTGTCAGGAGTTTATTCCGGCTCACTCTCTGTTAGTTATTAAAACTTCTGCCTACGTGTCCTTATGTGACTTCTTTCACCTCAGTTTGAGTTATGTGGTTAATTATTTCTACCCCTTACTGTACCGGCTCATAATAGTCGGGTTTAAACACACAGTGAGAAATGTGAAACTAATAAGGGACAAGGAAATGAGTGATACAATAATGAAAAGGGACAGCGTGGCATTGGACAGCAGCAGAGAAGAGGAGCGAGGAAGGGGGATTTGGCCAGCCATTTTGTTGATCGCCTAAACAAATCAATCAAGGCTGGCTGGAGCACACTAATTGAATTACACAAATGGGACTGGGGGGTGCGCACAGTAAAGCGGCTACACAGCAGTGATGAGGGTTGGGGAGACCACAGCTTGGAGCGCTCTTTGAATCAATCATCCATGCCGGCCTCTGCTTGCTTTTTGGTTATCCCCTCATCTGGGTATCCAACGCAGTCACTCTCTTCAACTCAATCGGGCCAAACTCTTTGATTGGGCTGTCACTTGTCTACTATATTAACATATAATTTCAGAGCCTTGCCACACATGAAACTGTAAAAGAAGATTGTAGATCATGTCAAATAATAAGGACATCGATAGAGTTAAGGCATCATGTCCTTCCTGTCATCCCACTATCCAGGTTGTGAATGTGCAAATTACTTAAATAAGAGTGTATTATTTTGCACATTATTGTAATTGAAACAGGAAGACCCAGAGTTGTTGAGATAGGCTTTACCCACAGCCAATGAAATAGAATAATAGAATAAACACAGGTTATCTATTGTTAGGCCATTTAACAGTTGATGCCTATCCGATATAATGGATTTATGGCACAACATTTGAGCACAGCTATGTCTTTTGGAGAAACTGAGTTGCCCTTCATGAGTATTTATTTGTGGGACTCCTTTGCAGGCGGCCCTCTCTGTTATCATGGCTCAGTGGTACTGCAGACCTCCTCATCAGATGAGCCTGAGGCGTGCTACGCGGTTAACCAGGACAGCTGTCTGGGCTGGGACAAATGTCCACGCCCAGTGCCCATTACTGCCTTCTTTATCGAATGGATGATGGCTGTCCAAGTGCTGCTGGACGGCCAATAGAGGCTAACAGAGCAGATTAGAGTGTTGGTGGGAAGAAAGGGTCACTTTGCCTCAAATCTGGAGTAATTGTCCCACACGGAAACAGTGTTTTACAGGGTGCTCTATTTGGATTATTTATAGAAATTAGGCATGCTGTTTTAAAATGTGAAATGTTGTAAAAGAACATGACCATATATTTTGTGTGACCTATAACTGCTGGTGACACACTTGACAAATGGACAGTCAGGGAGATGTTGTCTCTGTTCCCACAGCAGCTCATGTGTCCATCATCATCAGGGTGTCCTGTTTAAATGTCCTTGAGTAAGATGCTCTCTGTATTGTCCCTATGGTTAAACACTGAACCGTGACGCAGTGAATGTTCTTTTTGTCCACCAAAAAGTACATAAAGTGCTTTATTCTTTTGCCAATACTATTGTTAAAAACTCTGTTGGAGTAGTCAGTGACTATAGAGGCCCTAGTTTTACAAAGCAGTGAAAGTATGGTTCTCTTGTCGATCTTGTTCAGGCAGCATTTTTACAACAGTGAGCAGGGAGTAGAGCTGACGAGCTGCTGGCAGTGCGTTCTGGAGCGTCCACCTGGAGTTGAACTTCACACATACCTCAGTGTGTGGTCTCTGCGGTGCTCAAGCACCAGGCGTCTGAGCGCATTCCAACCCACCTGCCATCAGCCTGGCATTTGCAGTTCCAAGCACACATCAAACCCATCCAAGTCACATCTCTGCAAAACGCATAGCACAGATGCCACCACCTGTACTCGGCAGGTACACGTTTTCATTTGCTTTATAAGCTCTGTGCCAGAAGCCCAGCTCTCCTGGGCAGAGCCAATGATCTAAGCTGAAGAATGGAATAGAAGTATTCTGCATCTTAAAGCAAAGGTGGATGCATGACTTACATTTTCAGTTTAATTAAGGGAAGTGAATGCTCTCATTTGTCACGCATCTAAAGCAGCAGCGTTATTAGAGCAGTGTTCCAGCACAGCAGCCCTGTACGTTATTGTTTTGTGGGATTACAGTTGTGATGAAGTAGGTTATGGTATATTACAAAGCATTGCAGGCTGCGGTGCTGGTGTATTGATGCTTCCTGGCTAAACGCTAACGAGCACGGGTGTAGTGTTTGTCAGGCAGAGCGGGGCTGCACTCTGTCTGCTGAGCCAGCCACAGCCCTAATGATATCATCAGGAAGCACCGTCAACACAGCACTAACAAGGAATGATCTGACGCCCCAGCATTCACCTCCATCAGACCTCAGCTCCACATACTCCCTCTGTACTTAGTTCATTTGGATGTTCAAAATACATACTTTTCCCCACATGTACATACAGCAGTAGTGACGGATTTGATGCGCACTTTATGCCACCCTCACTTTATGGCTGATGATGGAGGTACTATACATTTTTGTGCGCAGTTTTATTTTTAGCAGATTTATGATGTTGACAAAATAAGCCACAACTACAGTATATAAAATTTGCTTTTGTTTTTGTGTGAATATCAGTCACTATGTTTTGATCTGTTAAAAGTGGCCTGACAGTTGTTTATGTTTTTAGGTAAGATGGTATAGAACATGTAACTAAAGAGCATAGACACAAGACTAAAGTATCTGTCTATCTGTGTAATTTGGTGCATTTTGTACAGTTTGACATTTTTCTTTGTTCATAGCCTTTCCACAACGCTGCACCTGTCGCAGAAGACTTAAGATTTTCAGACTTGCTCTTCCATGTGTCGTCACTAACTGTTTTTTTTCTCTCTCTCTTTCTCTGTGTGTGTGTGAACTTTTTCCGTTGGCAGGTGCCTTGCAGATTGAGAACAGCGAGGAGACGGACCAGGGGAAGTACGAGTGCGTGGCGTCTAATGTGGAAGGCGTGCGTTACTCGTCCCCTGCTAACCTTTATGTGCGAGGTAGGAAGCAACCCGACCACAGATCCAGGACAAATAAATCTAAACATCCACCCATTCTGACGTAACAAATATCCGCTCAGCTTTAGTATACCATCACTGTTGAGCTTAACAAATGATAATTGCTTCCATTATAGGCCAGTAATGTATTTTGCAAAATACTCAAGTAAGATATAAATATTTTAGCGTAGCATTGCCTGCCCATAAATGTAATTTCATATGCACTGAAATTTCCACATGTAAAAAATATAATTGACCAACTAACGTTCTTCTCTGTGATGTTATGCTCCATTTTGTGTCTTTTAATGCCGGCCCCAACTCACTTGGAAGGAAATGTGTAGCACAACAAGCCGTATGTCTTTACCTTATGGGTTGCAAGACACCTTTTTTATCTGTAATTGTGTGCTCCCCTTCCGTAAGCTATGGAACCCCCAAAAAGAGCTGGGAAGAACTACTTTAATAATAATCATAGTTTTTGCAGGTGCTGAAAAAGAACGGTAAGTCTTGGATTTTGATTGAAAGGCAAGGTATTAGTGCTATCAATCAAAATCTTAACCCCGACCCTTTGAGTATTTTTTTGGGGAAAGGACTACATAATGTTGAATTGAAAGAAAAATGTATTTCATGAAATGGTTTGTTACATGAAGTCTACAAAGACCTGATATTTTTGTGTCCTGGAGCATATATCTTTACCATTCCCGTTTTTGCTCGGGGGTATTTTCACTAAAAGCTTTTTACCGTCAGTTGCAATCTTGGCCCAAGTCAACATCTTAAAAACGATCAGTTATGAGGAACATCTAGTTTCATAGGAAATGGCCAATAAAGACAAAAGCCGTACCACTAATGCCAAATGACAACGCAGCCCTGTTGAGGGAGCTTTAATAAATTGAAGCAGATGCATTTTCTACATGTATTATTTATATTGCACATATTAAATAAAGATGCTTCGGTATCTAGTCAGTTTGTACCCTCTGCTGTGTACCAAATAACTTTGTTCCCAATAAATTATTCAGTTCTGTGACATTGTAAAATGGGTCAGAGAGCTGCTTTTTCATTATTATCGCTATTATCATAGCCTGTGAAGCAGCGGCTTAAAGGAGAAAATCAGAGTGGAGACGGAGGTATAAAATGATTTGTCAAGATTAGTCTGTTTTGTTGGGAGCATTTTTCTCAAGGCCATAGTCTGTCTTCTCTCTAATGCAGCCATACTTAACATCAAGCATAACTATTGGCTCATATAATGTTATAAAGAGATTCTCAGCAGAGCATTTTACAATCATTAACTACGAATAATGGGAACATTATGTACATAATGACACAGCACAGGGATATTTAGCCATATTTGGATCGAATACACGCCAGCTTGAAATCATGTTCAACAATTCATGCAATCTCCATGAACACTGGCTCCATCAGCATGCTTTGAAAAGGGGGCGCACCAGGGTCATGACTGCCCATAGGGACTTACACACAATGTGACACACCTGTTATGCCTTGATGGTGTCAACCTCTGTCTGTTTTCAGTTAACTTTTGTCAATCAATTCTGAAACTTTGATGTTGACTATGTTTTGTTCACGGAGCAAATTGCACTTGAGATTAGCAGCTGCGGTATGAAACCCCAAACAAAACAAAAACTTACTAAACTCCCAAAATTAGGCCTTAATTTGGATTCAAACCATAATGACTGCACGTCTGATTAGCCACATTTACTGGAACTGTCCTGAAAACCACAGCTGCTAATTTCAGCCCAAACTGTGTCTTTTTCTTTTCTATCTCTCATTATTTTTCGCTTTATTTTATTCTTTATTTGGTTTATTCTTCTCTAACAAAAGCAAATGCAGCCACCACAGGAGCCTCTCCTTGTGGCTTTTAAAAGGCTATAAAGCTTGTGAAATTTTTGAATTATGACTATGGTACACTTGATTTGGCGCCGGTGGTGCCTCTCCAAGCGAGGGCCACTGGGGTAAAACTGATTATTTTTCTTACAAAGTTTAATGAAAAAAATGGGGGGTGGCAAGTGTACTTTCAAGTTCGGGTGTCACTGGTAATCAGGGTGAGGGTAGCCAGGGTGAACCAAGCATAGCTGCAGGGAAAGGTAGCAGCAGCTAAACACCTTGAGGTGGCTTTTTTTACTCTCTCTGTGTTTCCCCTATTTTTCTCTTCTCCTCATGTCATTGTGTTCTGCATCAACCCCTTTACATCCCTCAGAGCTTCGAGAAGGTTGGTGTGTTTTTTCTTTTTTACTTTTTTTAACCCACATTTGAAAAAGAAAACAATCAACATGTTTGCAAAAAAAGTAGCTGTTTTAAAATTAAATTCATTACTAATTTGAAATCCTAATCAAAAAAGCTAAATGATTATGCAAGATTTTTTTTTTTTTTTATTTTAACTTTGGTCCAAGGAAGAAATGATGAAAGCAAACCCGCTTAGCTCGGGTTTTGTTATACTTTTAATTTTCTGTTTGCATTGTGGGGCCTTTTCTCGTTTTGCATCCTTTGGTATTGCTTCTGCACCAAAAAGGCTTTTCTTGCATGTAAAATGGAAACCCAGCATGTTGGAAATGACAAGTCTGGTGCATGATGGGAAATTGTAATTGCGCGTGCATGCCTGTACCAAAATCTGTTTGGCCGTGCTGATCTTTTCTTTTTCTGCCTTCTTCCTTATTTTGTTGTTTGACATTTGTCCTCCTTCCTTGGTTTCTCAGAGTTTTCCCAACTCAAACCTTTTCCTAATTTGAAACTTTTCCTTTCATATTGTAGTTACAGTGTTGTTTTGTGTGTTGTTTCGTCCTTGTTTTATTTCTTTTTTCCTAAACTTTCTTTGATTTGAACACGTTTGTCCTTGCGTGGTTCATTTGTTTGTGTAATTTGTGTTCCAATTCCTTCAAATGCTGCCCTGCTTCTTGAGTCTCGGAGTGCAAATGCCTATGCCGAATGAAGTATTAAGTGTGCATATACAGCCAGTGTTCCTGCCATCTTGTTTACAGCCATCCATTACTGACAAAATTATACCTGATTGGGCCTGATTGGGTTCCATGGTGATTTCAAGCAACCGTCAAGGGATGCCATTTACAGTGTTGTGTGGATCAATAACAATTTAATGACTTCAATATCACATTTGCTGTTGGTTAGCGGCTGCTCAGAATACTTATTGTCCAATGGTGAAACTGGGTTTTGTAGAGTGACTTCTGTTTACTTTCCCTGGCAGCCATGACACTCGATCAAATCATAATTTATTATTCACTAAGCCTGCTTCCCACACATACACATAAAACATTGACAACCAAATAATGGAGGTTCTTGAAGGGAACCGTAAGATAAATAGCATTGATATTCATGAATAATGTTATCATAGAGCAGATACACACAGCGGCTTCATAATGATAGCACAGCACCTTAATATTACTAAATAAGTCAAACACGATATATCCACAAGATCCACCAGAACACTTTTAATTTAAAAATGAGATTCTATTGATGAAAAGCTCTGGCCGATGCAGAAAGACTGGGCTGTTTCGGTGCATGTGCATGGTTGCCCTCTTAACGTTTTCTGCCTGGTTCTGAATGAGCCTGCATGCTCTGCTCTGCATTCGTGTAACGTTGGGAAAGAAAGCTAGATTACACCTTATGTTCTTACTGGCCAAAGCAAACTCCTGCCATCTCTATTAGATGTTTGTCTCAAGAGTCCGAAATCTATTAGCATCCCATCCAAAAAGTAGAAGTGCGTTTTCATGCAAAATGACACTTTCTTTATGTCTAAGACTTATAATTCATGTGACCATAGTCCCCTCTGCAATCTGGCCAATAAAATACACTGCAGGGATCATCACAGTGTGGGGCATACATACAGTATTATTTAGCTTCTTGTCACCTCCCTGTAAAACTATAGAAAAGTGACACACAATGATTTGCCCTCGATCCAGTCTTTTATTATCAAACACCCCGGCATGATTCCTGTCAGTTTCCTTAAGGTAATAATTTCCATTTTGATGAGCCACCCATAGTGACTGTTTAGCATTGGTGCAGGCGAGGTATGTTAATACAGGGCGACCCCTGCGGCTTCTATGTAAATGCTTAAGGCCTCATCCGGCAAGTGTGACTAAAGCATCTCCATTCTGGGCCTGGGTCTGAGGCAGCAGGCAAGAGGGTGTAATCTCAGCTTCAAGGTGACACTAAAGGCTGCACATTATTTTGGCTTCCCCTTCATTTTGGGGCAGGAAACCACTGCCTCACCAAAATGGCCGATAATGTCCACCTTCTGACCTCTGTTTTTGGCACAAATCCCTCCACTACACCGCCCACTACTACAGTTAGAGCAGTACTCTGGCGTTCTCTCTCGACTGCTTTCACCTCGTCCACTGTAAGGCTTCTTGTCTTTCTCTCCACATTGGGGCTTGAAACAAGATTATCTGTTGTTATTATTCAAAACACTAGGTACTCATTTGTTTTCATTTTCTCTCAATTCCAAATGGGCCGGCTGGGCTCCTGGTCTCTGTGAATGAGGAGCCTGTCCATGCAATTGGGATTCTTTCTTTGTTTTGTTTAGATGTAGGTTAGGGATGAATAGAGCATAATGACAGCCTGACTGTTACACTCACCCATGTAGTAGCAATGTCGTATTTCTAGAGTTTGACAGCAATCCTGTGTGCAGCCAAGGATTTACTGAACTAATTATAGTTAAGAATCGAGTTACCTTGGCCTCTTGGCTTTTTTCTTTTTCCCTTTCCATGCTTCCATGCTCCATGTTTGTATATAGTAAAATATGCACATAACAGGGCTCCCCTTTTATAACAGCATAGCAGGATGATCGAATGGCTCATTACTTTTAAGGTTTACCCCCACTTGAAGAGACAGTCCACAGAGAGTTTGGTGATCGTTGGTTTTGTTGCCAGTGCAGGTAGCCAGAGGTGAAGAGAGAGCTATTCCTTTGGGGAAACCTCATTCACTCAGCCAACACAGCTCCCGGTCCATTGGCTGACCAGAGCCCCAGGGAGAGAACATTCAGGCACACACCATTAATGAACATTTACAAATTCCCCTAATTTCCTCTAGTTTGCCCTGATGATACTAGTTTTCAAAACTGGTAACAAAAGTGATGCAGAGACAAACTACTGTGGAAAACATCTAATAGTACTGATGCAAATGTCTTTGTTGAACTCAGCTGCACCCTGGTACTGTCTATGCTGTCCAGACATAGTATTTTTGTGGATTTGTTCATTTTATTAATTTGATTTCATTTAATTTTGTGTGTCTGGAACAATGCTATTTTGGGAATGGATGGCATGCTTGGATGGGCTTGGGTGACATTTTGGACTGTATTGGTTTTCTGGTGACTGCCCTGGAGGATGGAGGCGCACCTGTATATGTCACTCATGCCATAGCCACACCCATGCATGTCTGTGTGAGGAATGGGCTGCCCTTTCACTTTGTTGTTCAGTTAGGACACATTTTTCTTTTACCAATCAAAACACCTTTGACACATTTTTCCGGCCCTATCTCAATGATTTTTTTTTTTTCAATGGATTTTTCCATTGGGACTGCATGACTGGGCAATTAGACCTGCTATGGTAGTACAAGCATTATATTAAATGCTAAAGAAAAGGTCACTCCCCGTGTTGCAGATTTCTGTATCCCCCACTATCAGGACAAGCTGAGGCTCATGACTGCTTTTCAGGCTTAGCGTTAAAATTATTCAAGAACAAAGAAGATCTTTGAGTAAGAATAGCAAACATTTACCCCTTTTCCGAAAGGGGAGGGACGGTTGAGTGGGTATGCATATCCCCTAAAAACATCATGCATACAAGTAGATGTAGATATGTGATAAAATTCCCTGGACATTGTCTGTTGTGGCCAGATCCCCCACATCGTGGGTGGATGATATTTGTGCCGTTTATATCAGTCAGAATGCCCCATATAACAATCATCTGAATCCCATTTGGATCGACACGGTGTATTTTGGAATGCTCCCTTCAGTCCCTGTCTGATCCCCACCCTTTAGTCCTTCCCAGGTCCCGGCACCTCGCGCCCGCCCACCTGAGCATTCCACATGAACATACACCCAGTGAATGCCTAAGGTGGGCTGGAGGGCAGGTGTGGCCACATCTTGATTTTAAGCCCCAGTGTGTGAGATCTCCAAACCACTTTGAGCCATGGTCTTTACTTTCTTTTCTTGGTTTGGTTCAGATATCACAATCTCCTTATTCTCTCCCCACTTATGCCTTCCTCCTCCCTCCTTCCCTCTCCTCTCCCTTTTGCGTACTGTACAGTATGTCGCCTGCCCATCTGTCATTGTCTGTCTTGCTGCTTGAGTCTCTTCTGCCTCGTGTGCTTCCTCTTGCCCCTGTCCTGTCTGTCTGTGCGTCTGTCTGTCTTCTGTCTCCAGAGTCAGCTCTTCCATTTGGTTCTCTGTTAATGTCCTTCATCAGTTCTACTTTGTTTTTATGTCCCAACAAACAACATGACAATAAAAAGAAAACTCTGGCTCCTACTAGTTAGTCTTGTACTTTTAAATGCCATTTAAAAGTGGTCGACAAAAGTGCTGCTGAAGTATCCTAAAAACATTGGTGTAGTGTATAGAGATGATACTTGTGATGTTAGATCACATGTGGGTCATTTTTATACTCTGGTGTTTTTAGGACAGTTTAGCAAGTCAAATTTAAGGGATTCTTCTTACATAATGTGTCCTTCTTAATGTATAAAGCCTCTTAATCATTCCGCAGAGTGTTTGCTGGGATTCATTCCACTCACAGTGTTTTTGCTTACCCATGCTCATGTGTTTCAAACTCTTACATACTGTACACACGCACACTCATACTTAGACACTGGTATACATTGACAATATAACTGCACACAAGTATCTGCTACAATTCAGTCTCAGAATCATTCTCAACCCCCCTCACTCAAAGCCAGCTCCGATCCATGAGATATAAACTCCCTCCTTACTGTCCCCCTCTTAGGGACTTCATTCTCCTCTCATCGTCTATGCTTCTTTTTCTTGTTGTCTGAATTTCTTGACTCAACACTATGTGATAGTACTGTCTTTAGCATCAAATAATATATTCAGTATTAGGCACACACCTTGTTCCTCAGTATTGATTTTGTGTTAAGTGGGACTGCGATGTGACAATGTGCCACCATCACATTTTGTCACATTAGCTGAAGAAACAATAATGTTTACACAGCACTGAAGCGGGTTACCCCTCCTTTACCCTCCTCCAAACCTCCCCTATCTCTCTCCCTGTTACTCCAGCTCTTCCTTCTATCCTCAGTTACTCCTCAGTCTTGTCTACTTCTACTCTCTCCAGTCGTCTTTTGTCTGGGCATGCTAGCGACCCTTCAGTTATATTCCTCTATGCATTTTATCTCAATTTTTATATCTGATTTTGTTATCATTTATTCCTTAATTTACCTCGGTCTATTTATGCATGCTGTCTGTGAAACTGATAGCTGCATCTATCAATGGAACCGTGTCAGATCTTAATAAGGCTTTGTCCAGTGGATCTACCCTACACCACAAAAATCTGATTAAAGTTTCTCATCTTTAAGATAAACAGGTAGAAGCTAGAGACAGGTGTCAAGAATACTCAAGTGTTCTTGGAGAATGCAGAGATTGTCAATAGCCATGTAACCCTACACTTCCTGTGCTATGGGAGAAGCCTGTAATGGTGGACTTCCTATTTGGCATGAGTGCCAGAGAGGACAGGAAGTTCCAGGTTGCCACATTGGCCTAATGTGATACTAATCACATGGGTGCTCTTTTACATGGTGATCAGGTTGCACTTTAGCCAAACATATTAGCAGTTCAAAGATGAGAAACTCATAATAGATTTTTGTGTCTTTAATTGTGCTGTGATGGGTCAAATATTGGTCAATGGAACCTTGTTGCTATGAATCGTTGCTTAATTGTTAATCTATATTGTTGTTGAAGCAGTTCTGTTAGTTTAGTTCCTTCTCATTATTTGTATATTTTTATGTTTTGAAAACTTTTGTTAATTTGTGTTTAGTACCACATTTACCATGTTGGACCTTTTATGATCATTTAAGAGGGTCCATTTTCATCTGTCTCTTTTGTTACCTCTCTTTCTCTCTTTTTGATTCCCTTGTCAACCTCTTCCCCTTCCTCATGCCTTCAGTCCGCCGGGTGCCGCCTCGTTTCTCCATCCCACCGACCAGTCAGGAGATTATGCCCGGTGGCAGTGTGAACATTACATGCGTGGCAGTGGGGTCACCCATGCCTTACGTCAAATGGATGCTTAACTCTGAGGACCTGACTCCGGAGGATGAGATGCCTGTGGGCAGGAATGTTCTGGAACTGAGCAGTGTCCGTGAGTCAGCCAACTACACCTGTGTGGCCATGAGCAGCCTGGGCATCATCGAAGCTGTGGCACAGATCACTGTCAAATGTAAGAAATCAACACTGCATAAATGTGAAATATAAAAGATTTACTCTTCAATTCGTGTGACACACTGTAAACTGCCTTTATCTTAGAATTGATGTGTATGACTCAGAATAATATGGTAGAAGGCTTTTTAACTGTCAAAATGTAGATGTAGACCTTATGTTAATATCTGTAATTACTGGAACTTTTCACTGAAACAAAAATGTCTTTTGTCAGTAAAATTAACTAGGGTGGAATATTTTTTACGATTTTTAACCATTTTAATTTGCCTATTAACCAGTGTAAAATCAGAATCATTTGTATGTATAGCTGTTTCACTCCCTAAAAATCTTTTCTTCCCCTTTTTCTCACAGCTTTACCTAAGCCCCCAGGTATGCCCGTAGTCACCGAAACCACTGCCACCAGTGTCACCATCACCTGGGACTCTGGCAATCCCGATCCTGTCACTTACTACATAATCCAGTATCGCGCCAAGTCCCCTGACAGCAAGTACGAGACTGTGGATGACATCACCACTACACGCTACAGCATCGGCGGCCTCTACCCCAACACCGAATATGAGATCAGAGTCTCAGCCGTCAACACAATCGGCCAAGGTCCCCCCAGCGAGCCTGTCGAGACTAGAACTGGAGAACAAGCACCTGCCAGCCCGCCACGAAACATCCAAGCGCAGATTATATCTCAGAACACTATGATGGTGCGCTGGGAAGAACCAGAGGAGCCAAATGGACAAATCAAGGGCTATAGAGTATATTACACCATGGATGATTCACAGCCCATTCACCTATGGCAGATCCACAATGTACAGGACAGCATCATCACTACTATACAGAGCCTGGTGCCCCAAGAGACATACACCATCAAAGTGCTGGCGTTTACCTCTGTCGGCGATGGTCCCTTCTCAGAGCCAATACATGTCAAAGTGCTGCAAGGAGGTGAGGTTATGAAATGAAAACAGTCTGGTGTATTCATAATGATTTCTGTCTCTTTTTCCCACTAAAATTGTAACAAAATGACTTGAAGGTTATTGTTGTCTAATGTTCCTTTAAAATACTTCATGACAGATGGGACTTGACGTTAATGTGACGTTGTCTGGCAATGACACATACCAAATGCATTTCTGTGTAATAATAGCGTCTGCGATGCTTTCCATTATTTACCAAAGATCAGAGCTTAATCATATTTAGTTTGGTATTTTATTGTACTGCCGAAGCAAGTTCCTAGCTTGTGAATTCGGTTTGCTGACAATGGCAAGAAAACTTCTGATTTTGATTCTGTGTGACTAGTTCGTAATTACTTATATTAATCTTTTTTTTTTTCTCTCTAAAGTTCCTGGTCAGCCGTCCAAATTTCAGATCGGTGCTGTGTCTGACACCAGTATTGAACTCACCTGGGAGCCAGCCTATGAGAAAGAAGGCATTATCAGCTATAAACTCCACTACAGAGAAGGCGACTCTGGATCTCAGGTAATTGTTTTAGTCCCTGGCTATACTTAATTTCACGCTACACTTGATGAATGCACCTACTTGACTTGTACAGCTGGGTAACAACATGTAACAACATTTACTAACTGCTCATTTACATTGTGTTATCCATTTTTACAGGTTTTCACATAATGCAAGCTAAGACAGAGAGATATGGCTTACATTTTTATCACAAAAATGTGCAATAATGATATAGTAGTACACATAACTGAGGCATCTCAACAATGGCTTTTACAATATTTGTACTTACTTGTTTCTGGATATAGCTATCTTTAAGTTCAGCTTCTACTCTTCACATCTTATCTCTTTCATTATTACAGTTTTTATCTTCAGCAGAACCTCCTGTCAGTGCGTAAGTCACTCTAGGCATTAGCAGTAGTAATTAGCTTAAATCTCTGTCTGCCTCCAATCGCTTCTGAGAGGAAAATCAGAAGCAGTGCACATGGAAAATCAAATCAACCCCTTATATATATCACCATATATGACCTAGTTCTAACTGTAATGTGAAGTCAAATAAAGTCTGACAGAAATGTGAATCTCCTCAATCTTGAATGGTCTTTAACATAATTTTTTCACCCACACCTGACAGATGGTGAAAACATTTGGACCCTCATCTTCGTACGTCGTGGAAGGTCTGCGGCCCAACACAGAGTACCACTTCTCCTTGGCAGCTATCTCTAACAAAGGCATTGGAGCTTTTACCAATGACATTACTCAGAGGACCTTGCAAGCCAGTATGTAGCCTTTTTTATTCATCTTTGTCACTTGCATATGTGTTTTGTGTGAGTTAACAAGTTTTTGCAAAGGGACTTTCAGGGTTATGATGGTGATTAATAATTTATATGCTATGAATTACTAATTGTCAATGTTCAAACTTGTTGTATCTTTGTATAGTTATGTAAGGTACACCTAATAGGGATACGCCATCATGCCAAATTTGAGTACTCTAAACTAGAACAAGTTTGGCTTTTGCTTTTTTCTCTCATTGACTTAAGTTCTTTTATTTTACTTACAAGTTGACAGCAAACTCACTTTCTTTTTGATAGTGAAACAAAATGTTGTTTTTCACTGGAATTGCCAAGGCCCTCTTAAGATGTATGTAAGGATAGCATTTTTGTGCATTCAGGCATTCGCTATAAAAAATAATCTATATTTGTATTCTATTCATATTGTTTATTATGAATTTGTGTTAGTATTTTTATTAACAATTTCAGCTGTTTATAACTATCTTAAGAGGACCTTGATGGACACACATCTTAACAATTGTTTTGTTTCCAGTGAACTTGTTGACTGCAGCCTCACTTCGCTGTAGTGGCTCTTGGAACAACCACTACACTGTTCCTTTATGTTGTGTATTTATTTTGTGTCTTACTTCAGACAGCTGCTACACAGATAGCAGTGACACTGAGCAAACTTGCATGCAACACCATTTTGTCCTCTGAGGCTGCTGTTAAGAACTGTTGACTAACCGCACAGTTAAACTCAGATTCAGGCATGAAAACAGTCAATGTTCATCCAGCCCCATTCTGTCTTGACGTCTCCTGAGTGCGTGTGTAAATCATCACCTGTCGATATATAGTAGGTTTCTGTGAGCGCACTGTGCATTTGATCTGAAGCGGCGAGCTGACTGGACTGGATACACCACTGCACTGCTCCTCTTACATCACCCCTTTTCAACTCTCTGTTTTTGCCACTCATTCCCCTGCGCAATGGAACAAAAGCTCTCCTTGGAATGGCTTGGCATCACCTTGCTCACTTTGTGTCCTCTTCCTTTTATGTTGAGCAAAAAAGTTTGATTTATTTATTAATTTCTGTATTTCTTTCTGAAGTGTATGAAAGAATATTGGCGTCACTTCAAATACTGACCCGCTGCTATCTTTGTGTCCTGCTGGGATCTTAGAAGACCCTGAGTCCCCAGCAGCTCCAAGTAACACAAATGCAATAGGCAGCACAGGCATACGCACCTGCCCATATTCACAAACCTCTGGTGGAGAGACTGTGAATTCATTTTTATTTATTATTTCAGGCTATGTCCACACTAACAAATTGCACTGCATAAAAATAATTGGTTCTTATTACTCGCGGGTATTGTGATGTTATGCTCCCATTTTGACTTCCTGGTTGTTTCAGTGATTTTGTTACTGTTCAGTCAAGTCAAACCCAGTCACTAAGTACAATAACGTTCTTCTCAGAATACAAAAACTTACTTAATCTTTTGGATTCCTGGAGGTAAGTGATTGCCTTTGGTGGTGGGTTTTCAGTCTGCCATAAGTTCATTATCAATTTGAATGGAAATTAGGATTGGCAAAACTCGCATTCTTGTTGTCAATTTGAAATCTATATTATTGGTACTGAAAATTATGTTGAATAATTAAGACAAATTTGCTAGCTGTGATCTATTTCAGAAGTAGTAAAGACCACATTTAGTCTTAAAAAAAACGTGTTGTTTGTGATAGAGATTTCATTCCATTGTATAAAAAATAGTGGTTTTATTATTATAGTGTTTTTACCTGCAACCTTATAGATTTCTTTTTTATTGCTCTGAATTGTGTGGCAGACTGAATCCCTCTGCCATCACCCCAGACAGATCGAAAAGTACAATTTTGCTGTTTGCTATGTTGGCCATTATGTGCGGTACAAAATGTTCACAGATCGTTGAAGTTTGCTCTCGGTCCAAGCAGCATTACCAAAGGCTATTGTCAGGGGAGCCACTTGGCCTGGGCATCATAAAAATTAACGGCAACAACAATCTCTGCTCCATTTGAGTCCTTATTTACCCCAATGTGACTGATGGAAAACATTTTCGGAGGAGGCAGAAAGTACCTCTGTCATTACATTGGATTCTTACAACCACTTTCGCCCGAGCTCTATCTATGATGTAACCTGCAAGTTGCTCTCCTACAGAAGCAAGGCCTTGTGGGTAACGCAGCTGGGGTTTGGGCAGGTTGAGATGCATTTTCTTTGAGACGTTCAGACGTGGCCAGAGTGTGTCCACAATCCGAGAGTGCGGAGCTGTTCTGACATTCTTCACAAAGGCCTCTGATAGACCCTTAGCTGTGGGTGTTAGCGGACTGCACTGCCCGAGAAGTGCCAGATAAGAATCCCATTTCATAGCGTCACAATTAATTTCATGCTTTTGCAATGAGCTATAAGCCAGGCCCCTTGGATTGTCAGGCTTTGTTACACATTTAGATTATACCTTGAACCTGCCAGTAGCCCAGTCAAGTACTATCTCTCAAATTAAAGTGGCAGATTTGAAATCCCTTGTATTCAGCCAAACAAGCAGTTTAGCTCCCCCCACTTACTGTAATTGCGTGAGGGTTTTAGATTTATTGGAATATCCGTGTGAGCCCTAGCATGTCCATTTGGCACGGGAGAGGATTAATTCCATAATGATCTACAAATGCCAACAGTCTGTCATTTCGCTTCATGCAAAAATACAATTCAAATTCCTCTAAACAGCAATGGGAAACCTGTGTTATTCAAAAAGCTGACATCTCATAATGAGTAGTATGTCTTGTACAAGTCACTGATTGAATTAAGATGTGTAAATATGATATTTGTAATGATTAGGTATGGCACTACAAGTTGATATTGCCACCTTTTCACAAGCTGTGCCGCAACACTCTGGAAAGTCAATGGGTGTTGACATGACTAATAATTTGTCAAAAAGCATTTAGTGTGTGTCTTTCAGAGAAGTTTCTTAAGAATTCAAGAGGCGTATTAGCTGAGTCTCCTCTTCTTTTATGCCTCGTATAGTTCTAGCATCCGTAATCCAGCCAGCGAGCCCTATGAGATATGCCGTTTATTAAATCTTAAGACTTTAAACTGTTATCGGCTATAGGGAGGCCTGTGAACTATGATAGCCTGGTCACTGTCAGATCCACTGTCCTCTTTTCGCAGCAAGATTGAAAAGTGGGAGATCAGTTTTGACGTAGAGGGCTTGCAAATACAATATGAAGCTGAAAAGGACTGGAAATCCTCTAAGAACATAAGTAAATAAGCACATTGGACACAGAAAGTGGTTTTGGCATTGGCTTCGTGGTCCTCTTCTATTTGATGTGTGCTGCGGGAGGACGCCTTGTACTTGTCTTGAGTTTTGTTTATTTTTGTCATTTTTTTGAAAGCAAAGTCGAGCCAGTGTTGTTAAACTTTGATGAATCTCGCTATCTAAGTTTTTGGGCTTCCACAACAGTTCAGAAAGTGGCACCAGGTTAACTGTAGTGCCATGAAATGGGATTTATTCGAAGAAATTATTTAAGAAGGAGTCTGTGGACAAGGCAAGAAGAATTTTAGATGGCTTCCACTCTCACAGTCTTGCAGACCCTCTGGCCCAAAAGATACATGAGAATTAAAACAGTCCTGGCTACAGCACGGAGCTAACTCTCTCCCTCCCCAACATGGCTGACAGTTATCGATCCAATCATTTTTTGAACATTAAAATCTTTAAACATACTCACCATAGGAGGGATAGTGTTATGTCTCACCAACTACATATTAGTAGTTGGGTGCTGTTGGTAAGAAAGTCTATAAAATGTTGTGTTTTGGGAGCCAGGTACGTATAGTGCAGACAAAACATGTGACTTGCTTTATTTTACTTTTTTCAGTGTCATTTTTATTTCTGTTTCTGCAGAGTATCCAAGTTTTATTTCTTTATTTATTTTTATTTTTTATTTTCAAGCCTAATTATTTTAATTTGTTTTCTGAATATATTGTTTAAGGTCATTTTTTAAAATCATTTTATTTATTTTTATTGGAATGTGTGTGTTTTAATTTATGATTTCATTTCACATTATTTGTATCATAATTTCAGTTTGTATGCGATTTGTCTGTTAATTTACCTTTACGTAACATAGAGTAATAATGAACAAAGCTTCCAGTGAACAGGGCAAGACTTTAAAATAGAAATAACTTGCATACAAAGTTTCCTACATAAAATACTAAATACTGAGCGGAAAAGGAGGCTTTTTAACACGCCTGGCACGGTGCAGTCTTTGGCCGAGTCCATGCTGTGTTTGAGATTAGAGCAGGTTTGATATTGAAGGTTCTCACATGTGAAGCTTCAGAACATGCTTAGCAAAAGGGAAGGAAGCAAAATCACTTACACTTCTTGGTCTATTCTCTGCTTGGCTATTTTTAACACTATTAAATGTATCTTCTTGAGACTTCTCTTTCTGTCAGTGACCTACAAGTAGAAAAGTGGACGTAAACCTGTAATCTCAGGCTATCATGTACTCTGTTATTTATAGTGTAGGCTACTTACTGTATTTCAGGTTCACATTAGGTGTTAGTGAAGCCATAATTCAAACAGGCCTAGATGCTGTGTAGTCTTTTCCCCATCTGTTCAATAGCAGATGTGTAAAATTGATCATATGCAATTTTCATTTGGCCAAAGATGGTTGAGAAATCTATGCTAGTTCTTGATTGTATTCTCCATAGAAATGCCTTGATTCATTATTACTAAAAATAGAATCATCCCCCATATGTTTTTTACTTTTACATTTGCCTTGTTTTTGTTCAATCTTGTCCTAATATTTTATTTTTGCAGTTTAGTTTGACTTAAGCTTCTTTTATTTTTGTTTGAAATTTTCCTTTGGTCATTTTCTTTATCTCTCCCATCTTTTATTTTTGTTTTTCACTTCCTCCTTCCTCCCTCCCCCTCTCCAATGGTCTCCTCTACCTTGATCCCCCAACCCCTCCTTATACCCTTCCTTTACCCTGTCCACTTCACCAGAGCCCTCAGCCCCCCCTCAAGACATTAAGTGCAACAGCGCCAGCTCCACCACCCTGCTGGTAAGTTGGCGCCCCCCACCGGTGAAGAGTCAGAATGGTGAGCTGGCGGGGTATAAGGTGCGCTACCAGGTGGTGGGCGGGGCCGAAGGTGGGGCTGGTGATGACGGAGAGGTGATGGAGGAGGCCAGTGTGTCCGCGGCCGAGGAGCAGGTCCTGTTGCAGCGTCTGGAGAAGTGGACCCAGTACAGCGTCAGTGTGTCGGCGCTCACTGAGGTGGGGGCGGGGCCGGAGAGCGAGCCCCTGGTCTGCCGCACTGATGAAGATGGTATGTGAATATTATGGATGTTGTCATTATATCATCAGGTCGTGAAGTCTGCCATTAAGTGCTTTCTGTAGCTCAAAATAAGTCTGTTAAATCATCCACAGGGCATATTTTTATTGAGACTGGGATTATGTCATCTCATAGTTCAAGTAAATTCAAGTAAAAAAAAAAAAAAAAGGCTTCATTTTTCTGTAATTGGGTCTTGCCCTTGTCTTCCGTGAATATTATTGAAAATCATATGGCTCCGTACAAAAACTCTGGTCACTATGAGATGCTTATTTGTCTATTGTTTAGAGTCTGCCTAGTCGAGATACTTTATATCATTATTTATTGAAAACAATACAAAACAATTTTAACATCTGTCTAGGGACAACGGATGAAAATTTTTTGACTAATTCTAGTACATTTACAGTAATGTGGATTAATGTACACAGTCCCTGTCAAATAAATAAATAAAATAAATATAGCTCATTACAATTGAATACCTTTAGTACGGAAGCTAAATATTTTCAGAACCAGTGATGTAGAACGTCTGAATGATCAAATCAAAGGTTTGCACAGTGCACCTGGGAAATCAAGCACACTGCTGTTAAACAGAGCCAAATCTCATTTACCAGAGCCAGCACTTAACATTGATTTATCGGCTTTTAAGAGAATACCAGACACTATTATCGGTGTGGTATACCACAAGGTCATATACGAGTCATCTGTTGAGTACAAGTTAAGAGGTATATTGTTTTCTCTCACAAATCAATCAAACCTCTTAAAAGTGTCAGATTGGCTGAATACCTGCAGGTTGCAATTCATTATGTTTAATTGTCAGACTTCCTGAACTAAGGCTTTATAGTTACACACAAATGGAGAGTATGGCATGCTGTAAGAAGCGCATTTCAAATCAAATTATTCAAATGGTCTGAGTCGCTATTGTCATAACTTTATAAAAGAGGTTGTCCGTTAGTTTAGATGTACCTATTGTAGAATTTCACTGTAAAATACTGAAAATTGAATACCCATGTTTACAACTACTCGATATATAGTTTTTGAATCCATAAAAAAATCTAAGAGCAAAGTGCACAGTGCATAGTTGGATTGACAAGTATAAATGTGGCATGTCATAGCACAGATGACAGCTGGACAGATGTCTGACATTGGCTGGTATTCACCACAATCCATTTCACATCCATTACCACAACATCTCAAAGACCCCTCTGACAATGATGTACGGTGAGTCCAGTGTAGTGACAACCTTAAGTCCAGAAGATTTTCTCATAACTACACACTGGTTTAACACACAATGGCAATTTGTAGTGACATTTCATAATAAAGTGTAAAGATATGAAAAAGCTCAAACTAAAGTCACATTTGGAGTATAACAAGGTGTCTAGTCAATGGAAGATTAACATGGATGTAGCCCAACTAGAACTTTCTACAACCAGTACACAGGGCCAAGAGTGATACAATTACCTTATGGCAAGTTTTCATTGAACGTCTCCAACAACTTTGTAGCACGCCATTGCTGTAAATCAATACAAAATGCTGATAAAATTAGCATTAGATGAAGCGAGCGAACCCTGTATTGATATACACCTCTGCTGTGTTTTTGTTCTCAGTTCCTGGGGCTCCTCCCAGGCGAGTGGAAGTGGAAGTTCTGAACTCCACTGCATTAAAAGTCATGTGGCGTTCACTGATACCTGGGAAACAGCATGGTCAGATCCGAGGCTACCAGGTCCACTATGTGCGTGTGGAAAATGGAGAGTCTCGGGGTCTTCCACTCATCAAGGATGTAATGCTAGCTGATGCCCAGGTATGATCGGAATTCCAGTACAATTTTTGTGTAATAATGTGTTTTTCATCATTCTCAGTAGTGAGGATCCTATTCATGGTAGCCTATATATAAAAATGTACTAATAGCAAATAATACATGCATTCTTTAACTTGTGTGCATAGATGTTTAATAGCTAATAAGAGCTGACATTTTTGCAAAAGTTCACTATAGAAAATAATGTCATTGCCATTCATTGTTGCTTTGACCTCAGACCTAGTTTTATAGAATTGCTGGGTTTCAGATGACATCCCAACATTATATTGGTCAATAATATTCAATACAGATGAGGACAGCTAAAAGTAATAATGTTAAAATGCAGATTTTTATGGTAAGTCAAAAAGTGTGTCCATTTACTTTAATGACAAAGTAACATTTTATGAATAGGGAAATCTGGCTCTTGCCCCTCATCTGGGAACATGACATCATCACATGTGTACATAGACTTGTGATAGCTAATAAAACCCGATAGTTTTGCAAAAGTTCACTACAGAAAGATATTTCCAAAAATAATTTCACTCTCCTTGCGTTGGTCCTCGGGCCTAGTTTTATAGAATATAGGAGTCCCACACAGTTATATTTCATTTTCTGTTGTTGTCATATTCTCCTCCACCGCAGCCCACAACAGGAACTGTAATGAAAGCTTCACTCATCGTCTGCTGCCTCTTTTGGCTCTGGGTTTTTTATTAGTATCCCCAGACTCAAGCTTCATGGCGATAAGAGCTATAAAAAGTTTGATTGTGCCCATGCACCAAACAGAGAAGGTTGAAAATAATATTAGAGTCCTCTGTAAACACGTGTGAAAACCTTGACCGAAACACAGCATATAGTAATTGTATGGCACTTTTCGTCTTTTACAAAACTTGTGTCAGCATGCTACTGAATGAAAGCAGGAGGCTGCACACAGTAGCAATCATCCCCTTGGAAATTATAGCTTTGATGGAATGGGCTAAACAACACAGGAAGGAACAGTGGTAAGCTGTATTGCAAAAAGAGCCCAAAACCTATATTTTTCAGATGAATGTAGGCATTGTTAAGATATATTTTTGAACTCTGCAACAGTGCATCTTTAAAACATGTAAGCAGACCAACTCTTAACTGATCCGCCCATGTTTCTCTATATAACATAAGCTGCAAATGGCTTCTCTTCTCGTGCCCTAACCAAAGTGGCCTATTTCTGCTCCCAAAGCCTTAAATCCTCCACCTCTCACAGTGCTGTTTCTTCCTTCTCTCTCTTTTAAAATCACTGCTTTCTCTACACACACGCTTGTCTTTGGTGTGGTGGGTTAGTGGGAAACGGACGATACAGCCGAATATGTGAGTACCACGCTTCCTCTGAGTGCTGTGTGTAACTGACATCGTGCAAACAGCGGGTATTGCATCAACACTGTGAGACCGGTCCAGTTGACTCCCAATTTACACAGGGCCAGCAAAACTTACTCAGTGGATTGAATAATAAAGCTGCACTGAGATGTATGGCCAACCTATCGTTACAAAGCTAATGAAAATAAGAACCGTATATTACCAGCAAGCTTCTACAAAATGGAGGCTGATGCAATATCCACTGCCCACTGTGCTTGGAATGCCAATGCTACTCGTGCCCTGCTGTGTGTTAATATACTATGTTTTGTTTTGTGTTCTGATTTATGTCTTTGTGGGGAAAGGGGTGTTTTCTCAATTTTCTTTTTTTGTGTGGTGAAATAGATTGACATAGTTATTTTCTTTTCCCTACGTTTTATTTAAATTACATCTACAAAATTCGTTTTAAGTCTGTTGCATGGGGCTTTTATTCAAATAACTGGTTAATGAACTATTGTGAGGGAGTCAATCAAGGTTTAATTCTTATGCAAAATGGCAAAATCTATTATGTGGCTGCATTAGATAGACAAAAGCCATCTCAGTTGTCTCACAAAAATTATAGCTCATTTAGCTTCCAGGCTATAAGTACTTCCTGGCAGGCCACCCCGTCTGCCAACCTGCCTGTTAAAACGCTCATTGTGAATTCATTCAAACCTGCCCTTTGAAAGATTCATTAGGATTGATCCAAAACCACCCTTTGAAAAGAACTTAAGGAAAGTTAATGGCAATTGTAAAAAGAAAAAAATCAGCCTTTGTATGGTCAGGATGGCATGCATTTATCAGAAAGTTTACGTGGTGATTGGTGCATTGCGGAAGTAGGGTGTGAAGAGACTAGGCATGTCACAATAACACATTTTGAAATTCAATATATAGCTATAAAAAATATCACGATAAATTGTAATTGAAAATCACTTCATGCCACTTATCAGGCCCGTAACCAGAAATGTTGGGCCCTTTGGGGTAAGAAGCCTCAAATGGGCCCCCCTCTATAATAAATTCATAGGAAAAACCGGGGCCCATCACAACAGACCCCCTTTTTCCCACTGTCTACTGCCACTGATACAAAAATGTAAAGCAGTAAAGCATTCCACTAGACCATTTCTGAAATTAACCATATTGTTAATTAAAAAGTTAAAAATTAGTTGGCAGCTATTATGACTCCAAGCAGTTAATTATTTGACAATGTATAAAGCTCAGTATATTATTCTGCAAAACAATTTCCCCACAGTGCAAATAAAACATACTCATGATAGAAATTCAGGTCCAAAAATATTGCTAATGTTTTTTGTTTTTTTTTTATAATATGTTGATATAGTAACTGCAGTGACAAGCCTATGGAGGATGGGTGGTTATTTACCTTATTTATTTTTCTTATAATTCTTCCCAAGCCTTAGCATTATGGTCTTCCATGATGCAAACAGGAAAACAGTTATGCATGCCTCAAGAATTAATAAAGACAAAAGAACCTGGAGAGACACTAAATAGAGATTAACACTGGGGTCTTGGCAGTTTGAAGTGCATGAGTGGGGTGGACATTGTGAATGTTTTTTAAGTCATTTTGACATTTTTCCTGTTTTTTTCCCTCTCTCTTGTCTCACAGGAAATGGTGATTGGAGGACTCAAACCAGACACCACTTACTCCATCACTGTGGCAGCCTACACCACCAAAGGGGATGGGGCGCGCAGTAAACCTAAACTGGTGGTGACCAAGGGGGCTGGTGAGTATTTAATTTATTAATCACACACAAATACTACAACCACAGTGGCAGAATTTACGCTACCAGTCAAAAGTTTGTGCAAACCATTTTATTACTTTTTTCTTTATGTTTACTGCTTTCTTTATCTTTCGACAAAGCAAAGGGTGGCTACTGTGAGGATTTGAATCTAAAATATAAATAAAATGTTCTACTCATACACTTAGTAATTTCCCTTTAGTGTAAATAAGAAATGTGTTTTATATCTTATCAGTATTAACTTTACATGGCTATAATTTCCCTCACAACAACTTTATTGTGAACTGATACATCTTAAAACTGTGAAGCAAGTAAAATGAAAACCACATCAGTGAAGTCCCCTTTTTATAAATGCACTTGAAAGAGACACGCACAAACTTATGCAACAAGCCTTTCACAGACGGTGGAGCACTCAAACTGCCTCCAGACACTGTGACGTTGTGTTTTGTTCCTTTTTGCCAACATAAAGAAGACTAAGATGCTGCTTCAATACAAAACATCTCCATAAAGGCTGTGCCGTTTTTGTACCACTCACAAGTCGATTCACATCAATTCCCAGAGTCTTTTCATTTTCGGCACACCAGCACGTCGTATGTGATGGCTGGATTCATCACACTGTATCCAAAAGAATCTATCTTACATTTAAAGCAACTACAACAGCATTCATTCTGTTGCTGCTCGTGCCTTTGTGTATAGAAGAATAGACCATTTGGAAAAGTTATTTTGGATCTCTGCAATGCGTTTTTATTTTATGTTTTTGTGAGAAAAAAATAGTGTTTCCTGTCTTGGATACAAACAAATCAATGACCACTTTATATTTCATTTTCCACAAAACTGTACACAGATAAAAGTAATTTGAAGTTTGAGTTAAAATTTTATAGGTAGGTTTACCATAAACTGCATACACTACAACAAACTGCAAGTTTCGTTAGAATTGTGATCAAATGGATTTAAGATTTATAATGGCAATGCCCTTATGTTATTTATGTGTAATAATTGTCATTTTTATCAGTTGAGGCTAGCACACACATCAATGTTCAAATCAACCTCCTCCACAGCACCTCTGGCTGCATCCTGTAAGCGGACACCAGACGATGTTGTGTTTACATGGCCTGGCTTTGAGTGGGCTATTCTGCTGTTTTGTGCAAACAGCTGACAGGAAAAATCACATCAACTTTCACTGACCACACACAAATGTGCAAAGACGTTCAGTGGCTCTAGTGTTGTCACAATACTAAAATTTCTAACTCAGTATTGATACTAAGGAATAGGCTTGATGCTGATACCGATTCTTATACCAGTGATAATAAAAAACAATCCTTCTTTATAGAAAATGATTTTCAGAATTAAATAATAGTACTGTCTTTTACATCACCATGTGGTCTTCTATCTGTTTAATGCTTCAGTCGTCCAGGTGTCCATAGTGGTCCATGGACATATACTATGGACATGTGCTATACTTGTTCTCATACAGCTCTAAATCATTCTTAAGCTATTCAGGAAAGGTTTATTTCTGTCCTGTGAATGTGATTTTTTTAGTATTAGTACTTTCTCAAATGGATATCTAGTTTCGATACTAGTTTTAGTATCAATTAGTATCTGATTTTCAATACTTTTCACAACCCTAAGTAGATTAAGAAACAAAAAAAATAGACATTTTAGATTAAGCAATACCTCATTTTATGATTTTGCATAGTTTTATCATTTTCTTCTGGTTTGGGCATACAGGTAGCTTTCCAAGACAGACACTTGATTAAAAAGTGCCCTTTCCACAAATGCACAAAGGTAATATCGTTTTTTGAATGTTCTCTGAAGAAAGACCGGAAATTAGAAGGAAACCCTATAGGATATATTTCTTCCAATCAGTCTGAGTGAGTGTCAACATTGGGCTGTTAACTCTACGGCCTGATAAGAAACGTGCCTGGAGGTCCGCAAAGAGGGATTGAACTGGGGTCAACCCGTCTATAGACCTTGGGAGGGAAAAGGGGAGTGGGGGGGGGCAACAAGGAGAAAATGAAAATGGGAATTGGGTATCTGGTTGAGAGCAGAGAAGTTGGAAAAAATATAGGTTAAGAGAGAAAGAGAGATGATCACGAAGTCCAATACGTCTAATAGTAGTCATGTATACACATAGTAACATACAAGAGGGTATTCCCACTATTCAGGGGGCTTATATCCCTGCGGGGGCTTTTTGTCAAGCAGATTGCTCCTTGTCCCTAGTCACCTTCTTCATTGTTCTTTTTTAACCATCCACAATGTTCCAACTGGGCTCTTGTGTATAAGACCCCACCCAAAACAACTGCTTTGTATTATATTTGATGTCTGAGTATATCGAATACTGGGCTCAACCGTTATGCTAGAAAATCCTGCTTCAATGAAAATATGATTAGATAAGAAATATTAATCTATACCCATATTACTCTATTTTCAGATCTCTGCATATTTAGGCTAAGTTCTTTTCTCAAACAGAAAACATCATAAACAGAAGACATCACCAAGTGGAACAGAGCATTTTAAGCTTTGAAGATGTAGCCAGACTAATAATAAAGTGTTATTCAAATGTGTGTGAATGAAACCAAAACACAAATTCAGGTATATATTTGAGGAGGTAACATTATAACATGGCTTAAAGCTCACAAGAGTCAATTTTATATAATAGAGGACCTTTAAACTCGAACTTTAAGGTAAGACGATAGAAGGGTTTAGTGTTTGCTTCTTGCTCAGCCTCGCACAGACTTTTCTTGTGTCCTTGGCTAAGACTTTGTCACAGGACATCTGGTGTATAAACTAGAAATGTATAATATATGCATTTCCCTTGAAACTCCACAATTGAATAATGAATAGCCTTGCTTATATTTTCACTTGACCTACAAAGACCTCTAAAATAAACACTATTTTGTACGACACAATTGTAAAAAATGACTGATAAAATGTGTAAAGGCTATAAAGGTAGTAACGACTTTATTTGGCAGCCTGTTGAGGACGCAAGTGAAATTTAAAATGTCAAACGCATGCACAAGCATTGCAGGAAGCCATCACAGGACCATTATCTCAGGTTAGATTTCCTTGATGAGCCGTGAATGCCCGGTCAGAGTGGGCTTTTAAATGACACCAAGCTGAGCTATAGTACGCTACTGCAGAGTATTAGGAGCATCTGTCTCACCCCCGCTATCCCATTAACAGCGGCATCCACTCAGCCACACTTGTGTTTTCCTCTGCCTGGCCAAAGACATGGATTAGGAAAATGAAATGAATGAAAAAGCTTTGTTGATCTCACAGTGGAGAAATAAACTTGTTAAACATCCTATATTACACAAAATTGACTCTTGTGAGTTTTATGCTATGAATGATGGTTCCTCCTCATAAACAAACCTGGTGTAGAGTAATGATGTTTGAGTAATCCTTTATTATTAATCTGTCTACATCTCAAGCTCAAAATGCTCTGTTCCGCAATGACGTCATGAAGCGGTAGTTTTCACGTTAACAGCTACCTTTTACCTTTTGTTCAGTTGAGACTGTCAAATCCAGAGTTGAAATTATCCAAATTATTCTAGTGAAGTTGCTTGGAGTTTAAAAACACAAGCACTGTATTACCCCAAGATCAGAAAATAGTGTAATATGGGCCCTTTAAGATAACTCTTATAAGTTTAGGCTTATTAATTAAGTTTAGGCTTTAAAGTAGCACTATGTCATTTTTGTCGTCTTGTTTCCAAGATGACATTTATTATACAGTGTGGCATTAAACTTATCTATCTTGCATTTATCACATTATATGTGTTTTGTTGCTAAAACCGTGCATGCTTACTGAGTGTAGTGCTGCATCTTCAGAGATATGACTTGTAACTTGGACTTGTGGTCTCACCTACTTGTCTTATTGGAGACAAAAACGTTATAGCTCATTATGTGGAACATTCCAGGCAAAGCAATAACATGTCAATGGGAACAAGCAGCTACTGTGTTCATTCCACCAGCAAAGATACACAGTGCACCTTTAAGGCATAGAACAAAATGTAAAAGGGTGGTAAATATAGCAAAGTGTTAAAACACACTGCATTATTATTCTAGGAGTATATTCTATAATAGTCTATTTGCTGTTTTGTTTCTTAGTAATAGAAAACTGTGAGGATAGCAGCTCTTTTTCCTGTAATGTCTCTTTAAAACAAAGCCCTATCTGTAAGTGGAATGCCCATGCTCCCCTGTGAGGCACCATTAGTCAGGTTTGTTGGATTAACTCATCCCTGTGTTTGTCAGATCACAACTTTGATTATATTTGCCGGTTGCCTCCCACAACTCACTGTTTGAATGTGGGCCGGGATTGAATTTATTTACACAGAGATAGGGCTCAAGTGTGAATCAGCCACAGTCATCTCTCACAACGCCTTGATGGCAACTTGAGAACTAAAAGCTCCCCATAAGCGTTGGTGCTTCTATCATTCGGATGGGCCTTAAATGGAGGGTTAGGACGAACCGTTTGTCATCCATAAAGCACGGCAAAACTGGGCCACTCTGAAGAATGGTGTCTAGACCCCAAGTGTAGATCATCAATTTTACAGCAAGCAATGAGTCTTTGAGCGGAGTGTGCCTGTGTTCCCAGCTCAAAGTTTTAGTAATGCTTTGCTCTACTGAAATTATTTTGACTGTTGCCTACATGAATCATGAAACCGTAATGGGTACAGTGATCACTCAAGAATTTAGAGGCTCTAAGGAGGCGCTGCCAAGCTGAGGAAACACAACCTGTCTTGAATTGTCGGCTGTGTTTGAAATGTAGTCTCTACTGTCAATGCATTCATCTTCCCTTTTTGTATGTAGATGTTTGTAGTTGTAGATTATTTTTCTTTATTACGTTTTTACACTATTTTCCAAAACACTTCTGATATGGTTGTCAACAATATGAATAAGGCCAGTAAACATAGACACTTTATTGATCCACAAGGGAAATTAGGAAATTGGACACAGTAGCTCACGCATCACAGTATATTATTACAGCAAAGAGAAAAAATATAAATGGTGATAATAAATTCTAAATAATAGCAAAAATAGAGACTACTGTCAATTGTACAAATAAAAATAAAATATAAAAATAAAGTAATAAAAACATGTCTCAGCTACATACAAAAGGTTGTAAGGAAAGCAGTACAAAGATGATATGATAAAGGCTTGATCAAAGAGTCTATTCAGAAATTGAAATGTTATATGCGTCTTCATTTTGATTCACGTAAATATTTGTTTTCTTACAGTGCCAGGGCCACCCTACCTGTCAGTGGCTCAGAACTCAGAGACTTCAGCCATGGTTCGCTGGGACCCTCCAGACTTGGCTAAAGAAATGGACTTGCAAGGTTACAGACTGCAGTTTGGACGAAAAGATGTTGCCCCTCTGGCCACGCTAGAATTTTCAGCTCAAGAGCGAGAGTACACTGTTGGCAATATTCACAGAGGGGCAGCCTACTTGTTTAAAATCTCAGCCAAGAGCAGGGGGGGCTTCGGGGATGAAGCTGTAGTGGAACTTAATGTCCCGGAGAATTCACCTGGAGGTTACCCACAGATAAATGAGGGGTCCAACGTGACGTGCTGCTCGGTGCAAGTGTCCTGGTCCCCTCCGGTGCTGGCTGAGAGGAATGGGGTCATCACTGAGTACACATTGGCCTATAAAGAGGCAGGGACTGGAGAAGCACCTCGAGAACTTCGCCTTCCTCCCAACCTGTCCACCTATGTACTCAACAGTCTCAAACCCAACTCAGCATATGATGTGAAAATACGTGCTCACACCAGTGTAGGTCCGGGGCCCTACAGCCCCCCTATGCAGTATCGGACGGTGGCCTTTGACCCGACAGGTAGGGCTTGCTGTTTCTCTTCCAGTCTGGTTGACAGGGGGTTGGATTGGATAAAACACAAAACCACAAAATGAAATCTGCCCCACCCCCTCCTTCAACCACCTTCACTTCACTTCAAGAACAGAAACTAAATTACTAAATATGTTTGCTTGCCGTGGGATTCTCACTTCACTAACCCCGATCAGGTAAACCCAGTCAGTCAGTCAGTCTAGTCAGCCTTTTTGAGTGTATGTGGAAGAAGTTTGAGGTAAGTGCTGTTTGGTCTGAAGTCCAGTCATTCGAGCAGCCCTTTGCCCAGTGCACTCACACAATTACCCATCCCAGTAGAACGCCAGGTAGGACATTTGTAACAGGAGGTTTCAGCTATATACAACTAGACAATGGTTCTTTGTTTTGGTTTTGAGATATTGTGCCACCTTTATCCCCTCCCGCCCTGATTCCCTGTTGCCCCTTCCCTTGTTCTTCTATGAGACAGCTTGTGGCATGGCATCCCCCAGGTGCACTGCAGAGGACTGTTAGCATGCTGTGTCTTTGGTCTGTCTCTGTGCCCAGTGTGCAGCACGTTGGCAGTGGCAACCCGACTCAGTACGAAGAGAAACAGAACTTAAAATAGACATATGCCAGTTGTTAATGGCAGACTTTGGTTATGGGACAAGGTAAGAGGGGTTGGCACTGTCACGCACGCTGGCCAGTGGGCACACCCTGCTCCACGGGTTTGTCATCCATGAGTCTTATGTGCTGTGTGTTTTAACCAAAGCCCTTCTCACAGCAAATCACAGCTCACAGCTAAACCACTCTCCAACCCAGAAGAACTTTGCAGGGGAACAACAGCTTTTTAAGAACTAATTTTAGCTACTGTCTGCTCAGATCATTTGCATCTTTTTAATATAATATTTTTCCCACATTTTAAATTTTTTCAGATGTCCCAAAGAATTTCACAGTCAAGTGGGCAACAAAGACCACAGTAGTGCTTTCATGGAAGTTTTCTAACAGCAGATCCCCATATAAGTGCACCGTAAGTTTTTTGTTATGTGACCAGTTTATTTAGCTGTAAACTCTGGCTCTTTTTGTAACGATGTTCTTTACTACAGATTGAGTACAACCGGCAGAAAATGGACGTGGATGCCAGACAGATGAGGGTCCTGGTGACTGGTCTGAGGCCGAACAGCACCTATGAGTTCAGGGTGACCTGCCAGGAGAGCGTGGATGGGGGTCCCAGGCACCGCATGGTCGCCCGCACGGCACCTCTGCTCCTGAAGAAGCCCAAATTGGACATCTATGCAGAGGCTGACAACATGCTGACTATGTCCTTCCCGCCGGTGGAGAGCAAGGATGTCAAGTCAGTTTCTTATCATATCAGTCATTCTATTATATGTGTATAGTAGGCCTGATATCATTCTACATATTATTTTGGGGCTCAGTATTGATCATATGTACATTTTCTTTTCACTACTGGGAAATTTGTTGTCATTTTTTGGCCACATGATACAATCTGAGCCATAGAAGTTGAATTAATAACTTCTATGACTCATTACAGCAAACAAAGTACTTGTAAAGTGTTTGCTATTTATCTACTGCAGCTAATGTTTTTTTTTAACAACATTGTAGATTTAAAAACATTTTTGTGGTTTAAATCTTGCTTTAAGTTATTGTGTTAGTGGCATCAAAGAGTTTTTCAATATTATTGTTTATTGTCTATATTTACTTCTGCAATATATTGAATTTCAAAATGTGTTATTGTGACAGGCCTTGTATATAATCATAGTCATATCTTGTTTTGTTTGTAGAATTTATTATGTGGTTGTGGTGCCTCTAAAACGGACTTCAGGAACGGTCAAAAACCTCAAGAATCCAGATGAGATGGACATAGAAGAGGTAGGAATTGTGCCTTTTAAGTCTTATTCTACTTAAGTTACTGAATAAACACAACGCACTAATTTCTCAAACTTCACGCACTGAACTCCTAAGTCTGCACTTGTTTTGATAGCAGTAGTGAAATTGTGTTGTTGAAGACAGGGGCTCTCATAAGTACATCTCAGCTATGCTAATTTGTCCCCTGAAGCATGCAGTGGAGAGAATTACACAGTCTTCAGTCTCCTCCATGTCTCGGCTTGACCTTGAGCGGCAGATCAACCACTTGCGTCCCCATTGGATTTGGGATTACAGACATTCCCTCTGCTTAGTGCTGCTTCTGTCTGCAGAGAACAGCAGCAGTTGGGTGGTGTAGTGGGCTGGAACCCTACCTGGAAATTTGCCAAAGTTTTTTTTTTTTTTTTTTTGTTTTTGTGTACAGGCTATGACAAACCAGCTATTTGTTTTCTTTAGTCTCAGCTCAATAAAGTCAATTTAAAGCCTAATAAACCCTTTGGTCTGTTATAAATTATATGTTTAAAATTAATAGTGTATGTATGATTAAATAAAAGCCCCTGTTTTTATTGCCCTCCTCTCAGCTGCTGCGTGAGGTGACCCCGAAACGCCGGACACGACGTCAGTTGGCCCAACTGGACCAGAATAAGCCGTACATCACAGCATGTTTCAGACAGCTGCCCTCCAGCTTCACTGTGGGCTCAGACCACCGCCACAGCAGCTGTGAGAACAAGCCCCTGGAGCCAGCACGGGAGTATGTCTTCTTCCTGTTGGCTGAACTCAACGCCACGTCTGGGGTAAGACCCTCCATCGTGCCCAGCCCAATGGATGCACACCTAATGAGATTTGTATTATTTTTTACGTACTTTAACTATGAGTCAATTTGATTCTGGTCTCTTTGTTTTTTATTTTCTCTTTTCCCTTGGATGAAAATCTCAGTTTTAATTATATAATGCTTATTGATAACTTTTTTCTTTTCAGAAAATGTTTGCCACTAGTCCATACACGGACACAGTGATGACTCCAGTGTCCGATGTGGACCCTTTGCCAGTGGAAACCGGAGGAGACGGACTCATCTGGGTGGTGGGCCCAGTTCTGGCTGTGGTCTTCATCATCTGCATCGTCATTGCTATTCTCCTGTACAAAAAGTGAGTAATCACTCAATCTCTTATCGCATTGGATAAGGGCTTAACATCAAATTACACCAAATTGTGTTAGTGCAATGTGAACATTTACAATGTTATGTCATTTAAAGGAAAGAGGCCAGTGGGAGTTGTACATATGTCAGTCCAATGTAGTGAAATCATGTTTAGCTGCCGCTTTCACTCTCAGAGGTAAATTAGATTACATTTGTGTTCTTTGTTTGGATGCAAATTACATAAAAAAACCCTCCAGAATCAGCCCAGAATAGGTTAGACCCAACTAAACTGGAGTATATTTATACTCTACAGTTTCCACAATTCAAGCGCTTCACGTTTTCAAAAGGCTCCTCCAGCATTGAGTGTTTGCATAATAGGATTGGCAGAAAACTCTCAAGCAGCCGGTCTGTTCTTTATGTTAAATTGAACAGTGCTCTTCTCTGAGAGACTGTTCTAATTCCCGTTGTACAGACACATTAGCTTGTGGCTGTCCATTACAATTACTTATTTTTTACATAATTTTTACATAACATAAAAATTCCTATGATTCCTATGATTGCCAATACTAATAATTCAACAGTATTAATATGGCATGTGGTATACATGTTTTAAGTACAAGATGTGTAAAATGTATATAGTGTTTTCAAAGCCATTTTATCTCGTCAAAAAAGGTGTTTCTTGGGTGAGTGGAATGAAGAAAGAGGTTTTTTGAGAGGGCATTTTGACTGAAAACAACTTTGCCTAAAGCTAATACTAATACATATTTCATTATGCCTGAATGTTTTGATTCACAATTATTTATACAGCTTAGTAGTAGCACCTTTAGTCCAACCATTTGGCAGTAAAAGTCCTGCTCCAAGGCGGCCTGCATTATAGGGCAGACCCAGAGTGAGGGCTGGTGTGGGGACAGAGTGCAGCTCAGAGTGTCAGATGATCCCACACTGTCTGACCCTGCCTTACCTTCTGTCGGTGGTTAGGGAGAGTAACATCTCTCCTTGGATCTTTTTCTCTTGTCTTTCTCTTCACCTCGCTCGCCCATCTCTCCCTGGTGAATAGTGTTTCCCGGGTCTGCCCTTGGCCCTGACATTGGCCCTTCCCATCTGTACCCGAAGCCCCCCCGCCCTGAGCCCCCGCGCACACATTCACTCACACACACTTAAATGGAAGAAGCATCAACATATATATAAGCCTGCTTTCACTTTTCATTGACACAACATTGTAACATACACATACACACACATGCACACACACAAACTACCACAGATGAGCTTTACTGTGTGAGCCCAGCACTGACCCCTGTGAATTTTAAAGTGTGCTCTATTGATTTCTCTCTCTTCTCGCCTTCCCCTCTCCCCTTTTCTCCTTGTGTGTTGTCTTTTTGCCATCTTTATTTATTTGACTCCCATTGCTTTCTATGGAAACAGCAAACCTGACAGGTAAGTTTTAGCTGCACTTTATTGGATTTTGCAGGGAAGGGTAAAATAGCTTGGCTCAGCATAAAACATGTATTACGGGGGTCGACAGAGTTTGGCATCCAGGATAGTTTTTTAGTATGGAAAGGTCTTATCTCTGACAAGGTTACCCATGAAGACTATGCATTTGATCCACTATTCATCATTTAACTGTGTTTTTTATTTATTTTTATTTTTTTTTAGCCGTAAAAGAAAGGAGTCTGAACCTCGCACAAAATGTCTGCTGAACAATGCAGATATCACCCCGCACCATCCAACAGATCCAGTGGAAATGCGACGAATCAACTTCCAGACTCCAGGTATGAGTCGGCACACAACATGCTATAGCCACTAGCACTTTCAAGACTAACTTTAGTGATAATTCTAACGTGTGATATACACTCTATAGTAACTAATCAGTATGGAAAATTGAATAATATATCTGATCCCTTTGCACTCCCAAATCTAATCTGCTACTGGATTGGAGTGGTAATTATTAAATGAATGAGTTTGGTGTAACTACAAACCCACCTAAGATATCAGATTTAGGATTCATATTACGAGTGTAAGTGTTTTTAATGGCTAACATTTTACATTTAATCTAAGTAAAAGTAATACTATCATGAGTTCTGACTAAAAAAAAAAAAACAACCATTTTTTTTATAATCTTTGGAGTTAACATCAACAAATGATGCAACAAAGCTAAAATCATCCAGCACATGCAATGACTACAAATTGCATTCCTAATCATATATAAATAAACATAATGTGATTTTTATGTGTTATTTTTGCTTTTTTATATCCCCATATAACATATTCTCATTTATATCGACAAACAGCAAAGGCGTTGTTGTTAGAAGAGACATTTTTTTCTTGTGTTTTGGACTGCTTCCTCTTTCCTCTCACCTCCATCTGATGCTTATCCGGGCTAAAGCCAGGTGTTAACAACAGAGCACATCCAATCCCACCCTCATTCTCGGAGGCATCGCCACCTAAAGCCTGGATGACATCTTTCTCTTGTCTGCTTTTCCGAGCCATTACTCAGCTGTAAAATGATAATCGGACCCCGTGTATTTAAGGCAAGGTCACAGGGCACTGTTGTTTAGGGAGTTTGAAGTAAAATCCCACTTTCCATGGTTGCTTTGAGGTGAGACGTCAGATTAGGATTGTGCCTCTTTTTGTAGCAGTTCATTTGAGAGTGGATTTCAAGTGGCTTTCTTCTTATCCCCCAACAAGCTTAAGAATGGCAGAACTAAGACAAATGGAATTCATTTTTGACATTTTGACAGAGTGTACTGGGCTGGATTTTTTAACCGATGTTGACAACCCAGGGCAGTGGTCTCACTTGAGTGAAGAACAAGTTTGTGGGTTAATTTCAAGATGGTGCATATCTACATAGCTACAACATATTACACACACACACACACAAAAATGTTACCAAAAAAAAAAAGTTTTAAAAAATGCAGTAAAATTGTATTGACACTATAAAACAGATACATTTTTAGCATGAGATAATTTTATAGTATCTATGTTTACATGTACACCATAAATCTGATCGTTATCTAATTTCTTGTGTTATTGGATTATTGTATACAGTTATCAGACGTGAGTAATCTTTTCTCTTTCTGATTGTTCACACCTTTTCAGGTTTGACAAGGAAAAAAAAAAAAAATAAATAAAAGAGATATTGTTAAAGATTGAAAGAGTTATTTTAAAATTGATTGTATTTGGTCCTTCAAATGCAACAGTTACTCGCACATACTCACAGATGTTCAGAATTCTTTTGTGCACGTAAACAACCACTAAAAATGTCTGATTATTCTAGCTATTTGACTTTTACTAGCCACTGTCTCCAAAATTTGGATAGCGTTCCTATAACCTTGAAAAATAAAAACTCCCCCCTGCCCCTTCCTCTCATGTTCTTCCCCATTTTTGCTGCTCGCCTTTCCGTCCCGGAGCCTACTTTGTCTGTCAGCCATCTATCCGTCATTCATGGCTAGTCACTCTTGCAATCAAAAGGCTTGAGTTTCAAAAAGTGAGCCTTCTCAAAAAGCTCACAGAGGCCCGCACAAAAAATCCAAACACTCTTGCATCAGTGAGAGGAGAGAGAGAGAGACGCTACACAATTGGATTCCTCTGTCGGTGGTTCAATTTTCTGTCGCCATCTGCTTGGTATGCAGGCTTCGTGGAGTGCCTCTTTAATGACAAGGTTATAAAGGGTCATTGTCTGTATTTGTCTCTCTGACTTGCTCCATGCGCTCTGCTCGCCTCTTTTTTTTTAAATAATAGAAATTCCGTGTCTTTTGCTTCACCAATCCGCCGCTATACGACTTCTCATTCAACAGCCGTGCCATTGTTTCCGCAGAATTGGGTGATGTTGTTATCTCCGCACGCAGGGAATTTAATTTGAATGGACAATTTTGGACCAATTAAGTGGGCCGGTGAGCATTGGTGAGCATCCTCCCATCAGCTAATAGCCGCCATTGTTCAAACGAGCGTTACTCCCAGTCCACTTATCCGAGGCCTCTGCGGGTCTGGCTTGGCATATGCTGCACTGGTACTGACCATTCACCCTTTGCGTGCGCTACAACATGTTTTAGATTAGCTTAGCCCAATAAACTAAGTGTGTCTAATGTGCTGAGGAAGAGACTGCACGTGCTTTAAAGCCAATACTTCTGTGGATGGACTGGCGATGACGTTCGATAACTCCTGGGGGCGCTAAGTGGCTCATTCGGTCATTATGTGCAGTGGCGCCTGGGGTTTAATTGTCAAATGGGGCACAGTAATGAAGCAGCACGACTCAGTGGACATTTACTGTCAATCCCCGGCCAAAAGCTGTCTCTAGTTTTGCCATCGCTTTTATTCACTTTATCTGCAATCCATTTTCAACCTTATCGTCGTCTCCGAGTGTAGACCATTAGAAAAACCTGAGAAAGTGGAACAGCTGCTAACAATAAGGATGCCTACTCCTCAATTATTGATCTTCACATGCATGCTTTGTCTCATTATATAGTCTAAGAAAAGACACATGATTACTTTCAAGGTGAACATAAGAAAAGTGACTATTGACAGAATAATCTAACTAAACTTTTTCTCTTTCTCAAGGCGTCATACATAGAATTTTGCTTTCTAAACCCAAACTGTTTCATTGTTTCTCAACTATAATAAACTTTAATTAATGCAATACATATCGACCAACAGCAAACTTTTCTATTATATTACACAGGCAAAATTGAATGAGTATATTGTTTATAATTCAAAAATGCAGCAAACAGAGTGTATTAAAATAAACTAAAATGGAATAGACTTTCGAAAATGGTATAAAGTATTCATTTTTTTGTGGTAAATTTTACAGTTCTTTCATATTTGTCTGATACCTCAACTTATACACATTTTAACACATTTGTTGTATCACCTTCGATAACGACATTGATAGATTATTTTTTGAATGAAAGTTCAAACATTATGAAACTTTCTAGTCCAATATTTGCCAATAGTCTTATTACCTCCAATAAAGGATATTGGCTGAACTGATATAATATAATAGAACCGATACACGATCCAGCTAATTTTCCTGGATTTCAATACCAATATTGGTGCATTCATAGTGCATACTTGAATCAAATATTGAGATATGCATTAATTCTCACTAATATCATCCTCTCCTAGTTACAGGTCTATTCTCTGATCTTGTTGCAGGCTCATATAAAAAATCATGGGCAGCGAGCTACTCCCCATACATCAACACTTGTTACCTTAGATTACAGCAACAACTGTAACAGCCCTCGACACACACCATAGACACACACACGTAAACATAATCAGACGTGCCTGCGCCTCCCTCCCACTGCGATGAATGACATTTGGAGACAGTGCATCAGAGCACCCCCCGCCAGCTTTAATTAGTCATTGTCACAAATCAATTAGGGAGAGAGGGCTTGTTCAACGTCTTCATTTTTTACCACACTCATTCGCCCGATACCCTCTTGCCTCCTGAATGTGAACATCGTGGAAAAGCCAGTTTAATGCCTTATAATTAGCACATGAATAATTACTGGCTTAGAGTATCAATTCATAACACAAGATTTTTAATAGCGTAGTGTGTTATTGAATTCAAGCATGTGTATTGGCAAGGATCAATCTTTTATGATTTTTATGATACAACAAAGCTATTTTTAACTATATTATAATAAAAATAACACCAGCACACATTGGTAATATTCATGAATAACCATGTTTCTTGGTTTCCAGTGTTACTAGTAGGGATGAGCTGAAGTGGATTTAACCTGAAAAAATTAAGCCGAAACTGATATTTGCTCTGCTGGTGTGGCCAGTAACTTATATTTGCCCATATTTCGATATTTGCCCATATTTCGCTTTTAACATCCATAGCAAGCGCCACAGCTTTATTTTAAGTTAATGTAAAAATCACTAAAATTAACTTTTGACTTTTGTAAAACTAATCACAAAATGTATTTATCTGGAATATGTACATGTATACAATACATGTTTGTGTAAAACTACAGCCATATTTCCATTTTTTCTCAATAGTGCTCAAAAACGGCCCAGTGTGGATAATTATCAGTATCAAATGGCAATATCAGTCGATACCGATACTGGAACCAATATACTGCCCATCCCTAGTTACTACCAGGTTTATGTTTAGGTGTAAAGATTAATCATATAATCAATAAAGAATGGCAAAGGTTTCCTGCTTTCTACCATGGTGACACTTTCACTTTCTTTCTTGTGCCCTGTTAGGAGTACAATAATCAGCATTCAATCATCTGGAACATCTGAACATTTTGCAGTTTGAAGCGATATCCCAAGACCAAAATGTGCCTTAATCCTAGAAGAAAGTTATATAGATGTCAATTAAACAAGTAAAGCATGAAACATTCAAGTAATAATACTGGTTCCTAATTCTTCATATGCACAACAGTTTTGGGTGGATTCTTGGCGCTGCCATCTCTCACCCACTTGTCCACTTGCGCTGAAAGCTGTCACATCTGGTTTGTTTCTGCTTGAACAGCTGGGGAGACCTAAGCCTTTTTCCACATGCTCCTTCCTCCGAAGACTCCCTGCCTACCTCTGCTCCACTCCACACTTTGAACCTCTGTCTATTCCCTCAGAGCCTTGACTTCCCATCAGCCCCAGCTTCTCGACTGTCAAATAAGAATGCACATGCTTTTCCACACCTCTCACTCCCAATGGCTCAGCAGTTAGAGGTGGACAATGGCTTTCTTGAGGGTTTGGTTTTCACTGGGAAACATAAGCTGGTTTTCCCCACTCTCTGTTTGTATCTTTATTCACCGGAGCG